CTCCCCGGACCCAGCTGGGGCCCAATGGGAATGCACGCAGGTCCAGGCCCATCGCTTCCAACACCTGTTCCTGTTTCAACTCACAGCTTGTGGGTTTAATAAGCTGTTTTTGAAGCCGGACGTGGTGGCACACTCCTGTAATCCCAGCACTCAGAAGGCTGAGGCAGGGGGATCGTTGTGAGTTCGAAACCACCCTGGGCTACAAAGTGAGCTCAAGGCCAGCCTGAACTGCATAGTGAGACCCTGTCTCAGAAAAGAAAAGAGAAAAGAAAAGAAAAGACTATTTTTGAGAGCTTTTTTTTTTTGGTACTGGAGATTGAACCCATAGCCTCTGTACAGAGTTACATACTCAACTATTTTTTTATTTTATTTTATTTTATTATTTTATTTCTTTGAGACAGGGTCTTGCTATGTCACTAACTTGCCTACATTGGGTTCAAGCTTGAGACCCTCCTGCTTCAGTCTCCCAGAGTGCTAGGATGACAAACATTTCCTATCACGCTCTCTGAGAGGCTTCATGTGAACAATTTATGAAAGGAAATAAGATGAAAAAGCCAGATTCCTGCCTCAGTTTCCCTCCCTGAAGACAACGACTGTTCCTGGCTCTTTGTGTTTCTTTCAGAGCAGTGGTCCTCACCAAAACTTCCTGGCCCCTCACAGGGAACACTGCTGATTGTCATCACTGCAGGAAAGAGTCCTGGTAACACCTAGCAAGGGGAGACCAGGACACTGATAAGACCTGCAGCACCCAGGCAGCCCCACAGGATCACCCAGCCCAAGATGCCCACAGTACCAAGGTTGAAAAGCCGCAGAGGAAGCTGACTTCCTTTGATTGTTACTCCCTGAGTTCTTGCCCTGCTTCCTCTCAGAGGCCTGGAACCCATTCCACATTGAACCCAGGACCTTCACTCTGAGCTATAGCCCCAGTTCTTTTTTAATTTTGAGACAGGGTCTTGCTAAGTTGCCAAGTTACCCAGGTTGGGCTTGGACTTGCCATCCTCCTGCCTCAGCCTCCCAGAGTGTTTGGATTACAGGTATGTGCCACTGTACCTGCCTGGCTGTTGAGATCTTTTTATTTCATTTATTTGAAGTGAGGTTGAGCAGCTTTCATCTCTCCACACTAGGAGCCTTCTAAGCATTGTGGTTGCTGAGCTTCTGTCCTTGGAAAGCCCCTGATACAAAAGAGAGCATGGTGGGGGTGGAGGGAGCCAGTGATGGCGCTGGGGTGGGGGGAGGAGTGGAAGAGCAGGCCCTGGCAGTGGGATTCCTGAAGCAGACTTCTAAGAAAGGCGCCATCTACAGAGGAATGTGCAGGGCTGCACCAACCTACGGAAGCTTCTCAGCCTACAGTGAAATCACATCACGAGCAACCCCACTGCCAGGGGCAGATGTGGTAAACTGAAGGGGCGTTCAGCACAAATCTTCAGCGGGCATAGCCTAGCAACGTGGCACCCGTGGGGTGCTGGTTGTTCACCTCTGTGACCGCTGCCCAGCATCGTGAGAAAATCATACCGCAACTGCTTAGTCCAGGGAAAGACCTAGATTTAAAATCTGAAGCCAAATTTCTACCCCATATGATATTGTTCTCACACCATCATAAAGTCACAAATCAAAGCACTGTGAGGCAGGGCGGCCTGGGCGGGGATGGGGAGGGTCCCGGTACCATCAGCAGCAGGAGCAAAGAATCCTGGAGGAACCAGAGGGAGGAATGAGGCAGCCGATGCCTCTGTGACAGCCGTGGACCATGGAGAGGGGCCGCCTGGCTGGTGTCACAGCAGAACAACCAGAGCTGAGGTTGGCAGCAGGCAGGGAGGAGAGCCACCCTGCGGCCACCATCCACACTGCCCTTTGACCAAGGCACCCTCAGAGGCTGAGGTACCAGGAGCTTGCTGGTGTGGTCAGCAGAGGTCGGCCCTCTAAGCATGGGATAGGTGAGCACAGGATAGAGGGTGGACAGAGGCTGGGCTGCCCAGTGACCCCCAAGGACTTCAGGTATGAATCCATGCAAGCAGTGGATGTTACTCCAGGAGGACAAAATTCTTTGCAGATGTGATGACAGTAAGGATTTTGAAATGAGGAAGTGATTACAGAGTATCTGACTGAGCCCTCAGTGAGCCCCCTTACAAGGGGACAGTAATAATCAATCCTATTCGTAAGCTGGTTGGCTTCAGAGACACCTAGGGAATTAATGAAGCATACTTCTGAATGTGTCCGGGAGGGTCATGGGGATGTGACCCTGGGTACTCTACCTGGTCCCTGGCCCCTTCTTCTCCAGCTCTTTATCTGCTCTCTGGTCCCCAAGTGCCATGAGCTGAGCAGATTTCCTCCTCCAGGCCCTTCCACCCTGAGGTTCCCGCCTCCAAGTCAACCACCCATGGACTGAATCCATGAGCCAAATCAAACCTTTCCTTCTTTAACTCGTGTGTATTAGGGATTTTGGCCCATCAATTGCACTACAGAGGCAGAGGGAGCCTGGACCCCAGATGGGAGAGGAAAGGTCCTGTGAAAACAGGCAGAGACTGCAGTCATTCAGCCCCAAGGCAGCCACCAAGAAGGAGAAGCGAGGAATGGATTCTCCCTCTTGTGCCTTTATAGGGAATGCAGCTCTGCAGACAGCTTGATTTCTTAACCTCCAGGTTCTAGAACTGTACGAGGAGCCACGGCAACAGGAAATTAATAGAGAGATGGACAGGAGACAGCAAAGTATCCAGACTTCCCGGCTACCACTCAGAGCTGAGACCAGGGTGAACACCCTTCTTCTCACAGCAGCCCTAAGAGTGGAAATGAAGCCTCCTTTTTTTTAAATAAAGAAACTGAGGCACAGAAAGGTTAAACAACTTGGCCAGCCAAGGTCAAGAGGGGACAGAGCTCTTTACAGACTTTGGCAGGGAGAAGATAGGGCAGGTGAGAAGAGCAGGGTGACCTTAGGGACAGGGGCAGGGAGGCCACCCATGGGGAAGAGCATTTCTGAATGCTGCCTGCTGGTGTCAACCGGGAGTGATAGGTCCTTCCTCGGTGTCCCTTTGGCTGCCTGCAGGTAGAGTCCAACACCTGCTCATCGTGAAGGAGACCTAGCTCAAGATCCTAGCACCATTTTTACTGAGCAGGAAATAAAGGGTGGCTTTGGCCATGAGAGGTGATCACCAAGAAATATTACAGGAGGAGCACTCCTAAAGCCTCACATGACCCTCAAAAACCTTCACACTTTGGGAGCATTTCAGATTTTAGATTAGGGATGCTCAACTAGTAAAGTATGCAGGTATTTCAGAATCTGAAACACCCCTGGCCCCAAGCACTCCGGAGAAAGGCTGCCCCTGCAGACTGTGTTGTGAGGCCTGGGGGAGTGGGCTCAGCTGGGAAGCGCACAGCCACAGACACAGTACACACAACATAGGGGCCACCCCTAACTGCCAAGGAGGACAGAGAGAATACCCAAGCTGAGGAGCCAAGCCGAGACCCGCTTGGAGGTACGGGGGCCCTGGAAAACCCTCAGTGAAGAGGGCAGATCCTCTGCAATGGGGGGACTGACCTCCAGAGCCCTGAGCACTGCGTCTCTGCCCTGTGAGAGCCCATGGCTCAGTATTGATATCTACCCTTTATAGAGCATTCAGTATGCTCTAGGCCGTTTGCGGATATTAATAACATATTGGATTTTCCTATGACCTCCGCCAAGAATCCTGAGCCCCGGGAGTCTGGTGGTCCCAACTTCTAGTTCTCAAGGAGCATCTCCAGTGTTCCCATGTCCGGTGTCCTGTCTCTTCGGGAGGGGCGATTAAGCAGGGAGGCAGGACTTCCCGCTGCAGTCACACAGCCCAGCTGCAGTGGCAAGGCTGTCTCTGCCTGCACGGATGGGTGCGGCCCAGTCTGGTTTCCGTGAACCTCCATTCAGAGCTCCCCGACCTGGGACTCTTCCCTTGAGTAGGCGGAGGCCTGGCTCCCTATGGGGGTCCTACTGTGACTGATGTTGAGGGGCCCAGGTCAATCAGTGGCCTAGCACGGGATGAAAAGTGCGAGGCAGGAAGTCGGGGTGATGACTCCTCGGGACCTTTCTGTTCCTTCTCAGTCACCTCGGGGAAACAGGGTTCTTCCACCTTGTAGCCAAAGAGCCTGAGACTCCGAGGAGAAAACTAACTTGGCCAAAATCACATGCCCTGGTCTGCCCCACTCAGTCAGTCGGTCATTTGGTGTTTCATACATTCAAGCCCCAGGTTATCATCCCGGACCTCCACTTCCAAGATCAGGATCCCTCACCCCGCTCATTTCGATGAACCTGGGGTGGAGGAAGACAAAAATTTTCACCACAAAGGCAATGTTTTAGCTATTCAGGAAAGTACGTGGAGGAGCTCCCATCGTTCCACTAGAAGAAGGGGTTGGGGGCTGGATCCTGGGCCTGGGGAGGCTGATTGGGAGTCTGGATCCATGGAAGGAAGCCTGCGGGGCAGGAGGATCTGGGCTCTGCATTCGGGTCTGGGGCAGGAGGATCTGGATCTGCACCGGGCTCTGGGGCAGCAGGATTCGGAGTCTGCACCCGGGCCAGGGGCAGGAGGATCTGGGTTCTGCACCCAGGTCCGAAGCAGCAGGCTCTAGAAGAGGAGATTTTGGGACCTGCACCGGGTCTGTGACAGGAGGCTCTCAGGTCTGTACCCCGGGTCTGGCTGCGGAGGAGCAGGGCACCGAGCTCCAGCAGCTTCTCGCACCCTTGAGGACCCAGGGCAGGCGCTGGCCGGGCGGGTGGGCGGGCGGGGTGGGGGCCGGGCCGCAGTAACAAAGGCCTCTCCCTCTACCGAGCGCCCCCCCCGAGGCCCCGCCTCCGCGGCCCCCCGCCTGCCCTGATTGGCCGGTCTCCCTGCCCGTCAGCGCCGCCCCCCTCCCCGGGTCTGCAGCAGCTCCGGCCGCCTCGTCGCGCCCCCCCAGCCCCCTCCCCCCGCCCCCGCCGCCCCCCGGGCCGGTGCAGCCGCAGGCGGGGTCCCCCTCCCCCTCCCCCTCTCCCTCAGGCCTCGCGCGCCCCGGACCGGCCCCCCTCCCCTCCCCCTCCGCGCCGCCGCCGCCGCGATGCCCCCCCCTGCGCCCGGGGCCCGGCTCCGGCTCCTCGCCGCCGCCGCCCTGGCCGGCCTGGCCGTCATCAGCCGAGGTACCGCAGCGCGGGGGCGGGGGCTCGGCTTGGATGCCGGGGTCCTCGTGGGGGTCGGGCTGAGGGCTAGGGCTGCACCCTGGGCCGGGGAAGGGGAGGCCCCGGACGCGTAGCTCCGGCCCGGGGAGGGGATGCATCCCTGGACAGGAAAGGAGGTCTTCGCCAGTCAGGGTGCACGCCCTGACAGGGGTTCGCGTCCCCCGGTACATCCTGGGCGTAGGGGCGGAAGTCGCTTTCCCAGCCTGTGAAGGGGTCCCAGACACCTGGTCCCAGCCTGGGGCTCAGAGGCCTGGGTGAGGTTCCCCTGGAGGGCTACGTCTTGGAACTGAGTAGGGGTGTCTGGCAGAGGGTTTCATCCCTGCTTGGTGAAGGTAGCTGAGGAAGTCCTGGCCTGGGGCTGGGGTCCGGCTCTCCAGGCAGAGGTGGGGGATGGATGTCTTCCTAGGTCAATAAGAGGTGGGGACAGGGAGTCCCCAGACCGAAGTCCCTGGGCCAGGACAAGCCACCAAGGGGCTGAGATTCCCCTGTGGGGGCCTCTGGGTTGAGCGCTGGCATTGGGGTGTTGTAGTTCTGTGGGGGATCGGTGCTGGGGATCCAGAAGTTGGGGTGCTGGGCTGCAGCTCAGATGAATGTCTGCGATTCTGGGGCCGGACTAGGGGATGAGAGATGGAGGGAAGAAGAAAGAAAGGGGACCCCTGGGTGAGGAGGGACGAGAAGGGTTAATGCAGGGTCACCGGGCTAATCTCTGCTCTTTGGGGGTGGTGGTCTGCTGGAAGATTTTCAGGGGAGCAGGAAGGGAATCCTGGGCACTCCCTGTACTGTGGCTGGCTCTTGTGTCTCCCCAGCTGGGCCTGATGGGGAGGGCATGGTCAAGGAGATGTCCCCAACGCAAACAGAGAGGGAGCAGGAGGCAGGAGCCCCTGGCTGCGCAGGGGCCCAAGAACAGGGTTAAACCAGCTTCCAGGGGATTCCTGTGGCCCTTGACCCAACCATTGGTCACAGAGTCAGGGACCCACAATCAGGGATAACAGTCCCAACACAGTGACCCCAGCAGCCTCGGGATGCTGCTGCCTCTGGCCTCTCGCCCAGACACACACTGCCATAGAGACTGTGTCCCCAAGTGCACCTGCAGACGCCCCACCAGCAGGACACCCATGTCCCCGCTGCAGATCTGCTGAGCCAAGGCGGGTGCGTCAGGCTACAGCACCAGCCCCCAGCTGGTGTAGGAGGCCACGGGCCTGTCCACCTCACTGGTCACCCACGCTGCGTCTGTCTGTCCTTGTCCCTGTCCCCTTGTCTCCCTCAGAGACCCTGGGACTTTGAGTCCTGGCCATTTCCCAAGGCCCCTGTCCTGTCCTCTGCTGTGAGCTGCTGACATCCCGTCTGTCTCTGTCTCTGCTCTTTGTCTCTTGTCTCTGCTGGTCTCAGCACAGTGTCACTGGTGTCTCCTGCCTCTGGTGTGCGAACCCCACCTCTCCTCTCTCGCACCCGCTCTACTCCTCTGTGTCCCCCACTCCCTGTACCCGTTTCCCCTCTTCCCTCTGCCCCTTTACTCTCCCAGGTAACTTCCTCTTTCCCACTTCTCCCTCTTCCGGACCCCAGATATCATGATTGCCCTGGAGCTTGAGGTGGGCCTGCTCACAAAGCCACATGACCTTGGTCAAAGCGCTTTCCCACCTCTGGTCGTGGCTTCCCCATTGGAGAGCCAGGATGGCAGAGGATGGCTTGGGGTGCGCTCCCAGCACCTGCCCAAGCACCTGCCTGGAAGCCCCCTGCCAGGTGTGTGACCTAGCACCTTGTCTCACTCCTGATGTCCAGATGGGAGGAGCAGACCACGAGTGACACAGTGCAGCTCGACTACTGGGTTCCCACCCTTGAGCCCCTGCCTCACCCTTCCTGCAAAGGCCTTGAGGTCAGGCTGAGGAGAGGACTCCTTGACTTTTTGATGTTTTTCCCAAAACAGAAACAAAGTAACCCATTGCTCTGTACCTGGCTTACTTCCACTTAACCAAAGCTCCCTGGCACCAGTAAATACTGAGCTACTTTTCATTTCTTTTTCTAAATCTTTTATGCCAACACATACACACACTCACACACACATACACACTCACCGTGCATATTCATTCACAAAAGTAGCTGCACGATCCTCTCGTAGAACAATTCTGCCAGATCCAACAGCAGCCACAACTGCGGCAAGGGAGTTGGGGGTCCCTGTGTTTTCTGACAGTGGGGGTGGGGGGTGGTGGAGGTAGGCAGAAGGGGGGCAGGGCAAGCTCAGCAGCCCCTCAGCCCTGCCATCTTAGTTGAGGTTCCTGATGCTTACTGCGCCACCCACAGGCCCGATGAGCTCCGGATTGAATGGTGGTGGTGGAGGCCCAGTTTCAGGAGTTTACTGGGCAGGTGTTGAGGGAGCCTGCGGTTGCTGCTGTGAGCTCAGAGGATGGGAGTGGAGGAAGTGGAGGGGGTGGAGGGGTAGACAGGGCCACGAGTGAGCCAGCCCCAGTGACTGCCCCTGCGGCTGCACATCTATCACAGTGGCTGGAGAGAGATCAAAAGCCAGTTGCAAAATCTAACGTACAAACCAGGAAATAGGTCATTTCAGGGAGTGACGGTGACACCACGGAAGTTAAGCGTGGTCCGGGGGACCAGTCGTCTGTTAGAGGACATGGATGGTGGCGAGTGCCACCCCGGGCAGGAGGCAGTGCGGGGAGGACCCGGAGGAGGAGAAGTCGACCTTGAGAAGACTCCGGATGGGCGCAGTAGCTGGGCAGGGCCATGAGACTCCCCACAGCAAAGGAAGTCTCCGGGTGTTGCATCCAGTTTCGGGGCGCCTGGCCCAGCATCTGGGGTGCCCAGGCCAACATCACGGATGTGCAGGCCTCAGAGTTCAGCTGTTTCTCTGCTCTTCTCAGGCTCTCCTGGTCCTCAGGCCTCACTGAGTCAGGCCTGGAACGCCCTGGCTGCCCTAGACACCCTCACACCCCGTGGCTTCCAGGACTCTGGAAACCCAGTAGTTCTACCCCGCCTAGCCCTGCCTTTGGGGGCTCCCAGGGAGCTTGCTTTCTGCTCTGTCAGGGTCCTGGGGACCATCTCCTGCTAGTCTGGACAGGAGCCCCAGGGAGCTGAGTCAGGATTGTTCAAGCAGATGCTTACGGGGCATCTCCAGAATCAGCCCGATCCCCATCAGGGTGGCCTATGCCAAGCCAAGGATAGCACAGTCATAGATAAGTCTTTAAAAGAAGGTGCTGTTGGGAGCAGCTGGCATCTATGGGGCCCAGTCTGCAGCCCAGCACCGAGCTAAGCACTTTGATTGCGTGTTCTCAGGGAATCCTTCAAAAACTCCATGCAGAAAACTTACTTTTCACCTCTTCCAGATAAGGAGACAGAGAGGGAGGTATTGTGCCTCAACTAGTCATGGGTCCCCAGAAAAGGGGCAAGTCTCTGCTTTGAATAGTCAGCGAAGGCCTCCTGGGTGAAGGGACATTTACTCTGGGGTCTTGAGAATTGATTAGGAGTTCAAGAGGTAAAAAGTATCACAGGCATCTGTTTATATTCATTTAATCAACAAGGATTCCAGTGAGCCAGGCCCTGTGTTGGGACATGGTGGGAACGCAGAACTGAGTCAGAACTGAGTTCTGCCCTCAAGGAACTTCTAGTCTGCTTATGAGGAAGAACATCAGCCTGTGACCCAAACTCGGATGGAAGAGGTCCAGGCACTGTGGGAGCCGAGATGAGGCCTGGAGTTCTCAAAGTACATCTGGTTGTTAATACTCGAAGCCTCTCAGGCCACACACAAGCCCTGGAGGAGCTGTCCAGAGAGGGCCTTGAGGGTCCAGTGTAACCAGGGCTGAGATAGGGAAGTGCCAGGCCCAGGGACTCAGCCAGTTGTGGACTCTTAAGGTCAGCCCTGGTTGGGTGCACTAGCATATACTTGTAATCCCTACTACTCAGGACGCTGAGATGGGAGGGTTCAAGTTCCGGCCCGGCCCAAGCAACTTAGTGAGACCTTGTCTCAAAACAAAAACTAAATAAATTTAAAAGGGCTGAGTGTGTAGCTCAGCGCTCCCAAAATTCAATCTCTAGTACTCCTCCCCCCAAAAAAGTGGTTAATTTTGCCTTGCCCACACTGGCTGACGCCCAGAGAGGGGCAGGGAGTTGCCCAAGGTCACACAGCAAGTGGGACCTCCTGATCCTGGGGTCTGGGTATTTTAAGACAATGGTTCAAGACATTCATAGGTGCAGCCCAGGCCCCTGGAGGGATGGACTTGCTTATTCCACGTCTACCAGTACTGCCCATAATCCAGGACCAACCCCGAGGCACCTGAGATCTGGTGGGCTTTAGGAAAGGGCGGAGCTCACCTGGGCACTGGGTCCCTGGGGCAGGAGAGGGTCTGCCCAGCATCAGGTCTGGAGAAGAGGGAGACAGGGATGGTGTCATGCACAAGCTGGGGTGATGAGCAGAGGCCGATGTAGGCTGGCAGGTGACGGCCCAAGGGCGAGGTCTGCTCTGAGGATTAGAAAGTTTTGGGTTTTGGTGTGGAGCGAATGCATCTGCTGCCTGCGGGGGCCATACCCTGGCCCCTGGTCGTGGTCCATGGCCTCAGCACTGCTGGGTGATGCTGAGTTCAGGAGCCTCACAGGTCCCACCTTGGGACCTTGGACAGCTCCCCTCCCCCCACTGGTTCCTCTTTTGTTTTAGTTTTGATTGTTGTGGGGGCTTTCACACTGAGCTCTGTCCTTGTCCTTTTTCCTATGGTTTACTTTGAGAGAAGGTTTTGCTAAATTGCCCAGACAGGGTTTGCGTCACAGTCCTCCTGCCTCAGCCTCCAAGAGGAGCCAGGTTTACAGATGTGCACCACCATCCTGGCTCATGGGCTCCCTCTGTTGTGGAGGGAGGGGTCTGATTATCACCCCCGTGGTGTAGGGAGCTACTGGCATCACGTGAGTCTAGAGCAGGGTGCAGTCAAATGCTTCACAGTATTCTGGACCAACTGGCCCCAAATGCCAGCACAGTCAAAATGGGGAACCCCTGGCCTAGCACGTGGGTCCCCAGAAACTTGACAGACCTTGGGGCCATGTCTGTCCATCTGTCTGTCTTGTCCAAGAAGAGATCCTCGTGCCCAGCATGACTGTTTCACAGAACTGGGTGGCACAGTCCTGGATGGCCTGTCTGGGTGAATCTTTCTGTATGGGACTCTCTGGCTCCATGTGTGCGTGTGAGCACACACGCATGCTCGATTGTGTGGCCATGTGTGATCTAATCACAGGTGACAGCATGACCTTGTGCACCTGACTCAGCCCAGGGCGCCCCTCTGTGTCTGAGAAAGTGACAGCAGCGGTCACTGTCTTTACACGGATTGTACTCCGTGGAGGTGGGACCAGGACCTTCAGATAAACGACTGTCCCTGTGTATGCATGTGTGTGTCCCCACCCACTGACCGTGCAGCCACACGTGGGGCCATTAGTGTCACCGGAGCCATGCAGGCAGCGGAGGCGGCTGCAGAGGAGACTTGCGAGTGCTGCTTGGCTGGGCCCCTCCCTGGGGCTGAGCGCGACCGTCTGCTCCTGGGAGGAGGCTGTCTTTTCCAGCTGACCTTCTGCTGGGCGTGTGTCTAGATCTGTGACTGTGTGCGTGTATAGCGTGTCCCTCTGAGCAGGGCCACAGCTGTGTGTGTGTGTGTGTGTGTGTGTGTGTGTGTGTGGCCCGGAATCTGGGGCTATTTCCTGCCTGGGTGAGCCTCATCCCAGGCCCTGGTCAGCCCACTGCAGCTGGCCCTGTCCCGCCTCATCTGTCCTGAGGGGCTGCTGATGGAGAGGCCCCTGGGAGTCGTTGGGGCAGCATGGTCAATTAATTCATTAGGTTAATTAGCTCCTCTTCCCAGGCGGGGGCAGGGCAGCCTGTGCAGGGCCTCCCACTCCAGGCGCCCAAGGTCATCTGGCCTCCCTCCCGCTGCCTCCGCAGGCCCAGCCCCCGCCCCTGGCCCTGGGCCAGCCTGCTGGCCACCGTCCATGGAGAGATGAAGAGCTGCGCCATAGTGTGCAGCCAGTGTGGGCGGGGCCTGCAAGTGTGCCCCTCGGGGGAGGCGAGTAGTGTGTCGGGCAGATGTGTGTGCAGAGGTGTGTGAGACTGTGCATCGTGTCTGTGGGTGTGCGATAGATGTGTCTGCCAGTGTATTTCTCAATTAATGTGTGTGTACATGTGAGACTGTACATGTTTCTTCTGTGTTTCTGTGTGTCTATGCACCTGCAAACCAATCTGTGCATACTTGAATGTGAATACGAACACGTATGCGTATTGGTGGGTATGCATCCTCGTGTGCAAGTACCTGGGTGTACCTGTACCTGTGTGAAAGCACATCTGTCTGTGTATCTGTGCACATGGATATGCGACTCTGCACACCATCTCCATGAAGAGGGACATGTTCTGAGCATACTTGTCTCCGCATACAGCTGTCTGCCTGCCAGTGTGTTTCACGCATATATACATTTATCCTGTGCACAGATCTGTGTGCTCTGTGTCTCTGTGGATGTGCATCTGTGTGCACATGCATTGCCGTGTCGTGTACGTATGTGCGTGTGAACATGTGTCTGTGTGTGCGTTTCTGTGCTGTGGCCCAGTATAGTCTCGTGTCCTCGGAGGTTTGTTGCTTGCCTGTCCCGTGCCCTACCCCACCCCCACCCCGTCTTGTCTGTGAGTCTGTGCAGGCCCAGGGAACGCCCACGCTGGGTGTGCCTTCTCTGCGTATCTCCGAGAACAGCCATGAATGTGCATGGCGGTGGGTGTGGAAGAGGTGTCCTTGAGGTGTGTGTGTGTGTGTGTGTGTGTGTGTGTGTGTGTGTGTGTGCGTGCCCGCCTATGCAGGCTCTACCATGCCTACCCCTGCCGCCAGGACTGAGCACTTCTCTCCTGCAGGGCTGCTGTCACAGAGCCTGGAGTTCAGCTCCCCAGCCGATAACTACACCGTGTGCGAAGGTGACAATGCCACCCTCAGGTGCGCCCAGCTCGGGTGGGGCTGGTAAGGAGGGAGGGCACCTGTGACACACGTGCACCCATGCATGCCCCCTGTCAGGAGCCACGCTTCTGCCCCAGGCCTCAGGTACGCACCGGCCACAGGAGTGCACAGTAAGGACCATGGAGGGTGTGCAGGAGTTCGCACCCATGGTGCTCAGGGAGGTGTATATCAGGCCTGCTCATAATTTGGAGCCAGGGCAATGCCCTCCATCCCCTCACCTCTGCCTGTTTACATTCAGGGTCTGTCTTGTCCCCACTCTGGGTCTCCATCCCTCTCTGGCTGTCGGGTACACAGCAGACACCTCATGGCCATCAGTGGCAGCCCTGAGCCTATGGCGCTCCTGCTGAGACTCAGTTCACTCACCAGCATAGTGTCCACAGCAGTCTGCCTCCCAGGGCTGCTGTGGGCCCCGAAGGTGTGACCCTAACCCTGACCTGAACCTCTCCTTCCCCAGCTGCTTCATCGACGAGCACGTGACCCGCGTGGCCTGGTTGAACCGCTCCAACATCCTGTATGCCGGCAACGACCGCTGGACCAGCGACCCCAGAGTGCGGCTGCTTATCAACACGCCAGAGGAGTTCTCCATCCTCATCACCCAGGTGGGGCTCGGGGACGAGGGCCTCTACACCTGCTCCTTCCAGACCCGCCACCAGCCGTACACCACTCAGGTCTACCTCATTGTCCACGGTGAGCCGGGTACACAGATGGAGGGACGCGATGCTGGGCCCCTCACCCAAGGTGCTACATGATGGGGGTGCCTGCGGGTTCCCCCAGGCCACTGCGCTCTCCAGTGCCACCCCAATCTTGGGGATACGTCCTTGGAAGACGGAGTTTCCGCCAAGCAGAAGGGGAAACCACAGGAGTGACACTCAGGGCAGGAAAGCTACCTGGGCAAGGGGCATGGGGGGTGGACCAAGGATGTGCAGAACCAGGGAGACTGTCCCTCCCCTCTGGAGCTGGTTTCCAGACACTCCAAGGGCTGAGCTGGGGATTTTGTACACAGAGCTGGTGGAAACAATCGACCTCCCCCAAAACAAAACAAGAAACAAGGGAGGAGAGGGAGAGGAGGAAAAGGAAAGGAAGGAAATTAAATTCAGAGCAAGAGATGGGGCTGCAGGGACCCACAGAGGCTGGACGTCCAGGGGCTGGGGAAACAAAGCTTGGAAACCACTTCAAAGGGGAGCAGAGGTGGTCTGGAGGGCGGGAAGCACCCAGAGAGACGGAATGCAGACACAGAGCCCCCACCATGGTCAGCATGAGCACCAGCAGCTCAGAAGCCAGACACCCGGGCCAGCTTCCAGGATGACCCCACCAGCCAGGGAGGGGCCTGAGCAGCAGAGCCTTCCCTCGGGTGCCCTGGCCTGGAAGGGTGCCCTGGCCTGGAAACTGAACAGGAAAGGTGCTGTCTGTCCCCAAATCCAAGACAGCAGATGAGCAATCAGGGGTGCCTGTTGGTCACGCTCTAATAGTAAAGGGAACAGTATGGCAACCTATGTCGCAAGGCAGCCCTGAGTGAGGAGCTCAAACGGAGGAAGAGAAAAAAATCCCAGATACTCTTAGAATCGGAGAAATACAGTAATGCCCAGCCTGGGACAGGGAAGAAGACACTCTCAAATGGATTTTTATAGACCTCTCACAACACAATCCGCCACACAGAGAGTGCCACATAGGTATTTGTTAACTACATTAATTTTAAGATAATCATAAATAAAAAGAGGCAGGGAGATAGGAATTCAGACCAGAAGGCAGTGAGATCACTCACTGCTGTGGAGACTTCAGTGTGGCCAGAAATCAGACAAGGAGTGGGACCCAGGCAGGCTGCTGAGGACAGGGCAGAGAGGAAAGGGACAGACCAGGGGACTGTAAGGCTGACAGACTGTCAGCCCCCATCTGTCAAGAGAGAGGAGGCCTGGCCAGGGCCCCCTCTCCCCGAAGTCTGAGGGAGGAGGCCGGGCCAGGACCCCGGGAGAGGGTGTCCAGCCACTGCTGATCTCTCTCCCCGCCCGCAGTCCCTGCCCGCATTGTGAACATCTCCTCACCTGTGACAGTGAACGAGGGGGGCAATGTGAACCTGCTTTGTCTGGCTGTGGGGCGGCCAGAGCCAACCGTCACCTGGAGGCAGCTCCGAGGTGAGGACCCCAGCCCCCTCACAAACCGCATTCCCCTGCTCTGCAGGCTGGGTCCCTCTGTTCTCTTGACTCCTGAGCCCCCCCCCTCGCCATGCCACCCCACCATCACCACCCCTTCCAGTCTTTGCTTACCAGACCTCAGACACAGAGCCTTCACCACTGGCTTCCACTTGCTGCTCAGACCCTATCCTGAAGAACCCCCAATCCTGTTTCTCCCTACCCCATCAATTCTGCACTAGGGGTCCCACCACTAGATACCCCAAGTCCAGCCACAGCTCTGGTTCTGGCCACAGTACCACCTCCAGCTCACACTCACCCCTCCTGCTGGACACTGCAGCCCAGTGAGTCCAATGGTCCAACATGTGGTCCCCAGGAGCCAACATCAGCCTCGCTGGGGAACTCCCTGGAAATACATGTTCCCGGGCCCAGCCCAGACCCCTAGAAAATCAGAAGCTCCTTCTGTCCCCACCCCAATGCTCACAGGAGCCCAGACACAGTATGGGGTGCCTGGATGTGACAGCCCAGGGCCACTACTTCACCTCCAGCTCTATCCCTGACCCCCCACCAAACCCCAAATCTCTGATCCCTACTCCCTGAGTCTAGGGAGACCCAGGGTGCCAAACACTAGATTCCTGTGAATACTTGGTCCCCTGAGACTCCGAAATCCAACTGCTAGGACAGGGATCTTAGTTCTCTGGACCTAAGAGCTTGAACCCTAAACCCCAGAGCCTCCCCAGCCAGCCTTTACTTCCTGAATCCTCCTAAGCTCCAAGATTCTGGGATTCTCCTCTCCTTTGGGTTCCCTGAGCACCAAGATCAGAGATCCCAGATCCCGGGATCTCCTGAACCCCAAATTCCAGCACCCCCCCCCTGGGTTCCAGTCCCTAAGCCAGGCTCCTCCCTCCTCACCCACCCCGCAGCCCCCTCGGCTTCCGCTGACCCGGGCACTCCAGGCCTTGCAGTGCCGGCCCCGCTGATGTGTGTCCCGTTGTGCTGCCCGTGTTGTCCCGTGTTAAGTGTTGGTGTCCGGCCCCGCCCCCTCCCCCTCCCTCCCCCACAGACGGCTTCATCTCGGAGGGCGAGATCCTTGAGATTTCCGACATCCAGCGCGGCCAGGCGGGGGAGTACGAGTGCGTGACCCACAACGGGGTGAACTCGGCGCCCGACAGCCGCCGCGTGCTGGTCACCGTCAACTGTGAGCCTCCCCGCCCCTCCCCCGGCCCTGGCACGGAAGGGGGCGCACCGAGGTCTGGGGAGGGGGGTGCGGGGGGGGGATAGGGGGCGGGATGGACTGGGCCTGCAGGCGGAGGGGCTGCGTAGCACGCGCTGACCCTCGCTCACCCCTCTCCAGATCCGCCGACCATCACGGACGTGACCAGCGCGCGCACTGCTCTGGGCCGCGCCGCGCTCCTGCGCTGTGAAGCCATGGCCGTGCCGCCCGCGGACTTCCAGTGGTACAAGGACGACAGACTGTGAGGACTGACCCGGGAGGGGACGGGGGGGGGGGCGAGGGGTGGGGGAAGAAAGGGGAGGGAATTGACTCGGGTCCCAGGGTGAATGCTGGAGCCTTGCGTGTCCCCTGAATTTCATGGTGCGGGGTTAGGGAGCCCCCTGGTCACAGGGGCGCGTACCCGGAGCGCCCAGAATCCCTGAGGGGCCGCGGTGTCTGGAGACGGGGCATCCCTGGAGTAGGGGCTAGAACCTGATGCCAGGCGTCCCCGGAAAATGGGGTCGCGGAGCGACCCGCTGAGGTGTGCCCGGCACGACCCCGACCCCGACCCCGACCCCGTCCCGCAGGCTGAGCAGCGGCGCAGCCGAGGGCCTGAAGGTGCAGACGGAGCGCACCCGCTCCATGCTCCTCTTCGCCAACGTGAGCGCCCGGCACTACGGCAACTACACGTGTCGCGCCGCCAACCGACTCGGAGCGTCCAGCGCCTCTATGCGGCTCCTGCGTGCGTCCACGGGCGGGGTGTGGTCGGGTGGGGTGGCTGCAGCGGGGGACGAGGGGCCACCCCGACTGACCCCCAGGGTAGAACAGACACATGCTGAGTCCTGAGGTGCGACCGAGTAGGAAAAGCGATCCGTTTAATCAGTATTCATCGGGCACCTGCGAAGGACTCTGGGGACACGGCAGTGACACGGTTTGGGGACTGCTAGAAAAGCAATAAAACGGACGCGTAGATAAGTAACGGAACAGATGCAGGAACGAAATATAACTCCGGATGTCAGGAACAGCTAAGGAAAAAACGACGGAGAGAGGCTCGGGGTGGGAGCTGTCAGGGAAGGCCACCGCAGCGCGCTTCCGGGAGGAAGCCTCGTTTCAGCTGAGGTTTAGCAGATCGCCCACCTGTCGCCCAGCAACTGTAGAGGCCGAGGGAGGAGGCTATCAAGCTTCAGGCCTGCCCAGTCGATTTAGGGAGACCTGTATCTCTAAATTAAAAAAAAAAAAAATCAAAAGGGCTGAGCAGGTAGTTCAGTGGGAGAGCGCCCCAGGGGTCCATGCCCAAGATCCAAAGAAAGGGAAGAAAAAAGGAAACCTGGCCTGCACTTGAAAGGGCGTTGCAAAATCATAGTGAGGGGTCAGGGGGACCCAGCAGAGCCGCTGGAGCCATCAGCCGCCCCGGAGGAAGGCGGAGCTCAGAGCCCCGCGGGGACTGCATTGTACAGGGCTGCGGGGCGTCCCGCTGCAGGCGCTTTAGCCTGGAGTGCCACGTGGTTGGCGCCTTGACAGAGAATCACTTACTTAGCTGGCTGAGTGATGAGCTCCGAGGCGGAGCCAGAAGTGGCTGTGCGGCCCTCCAGGGCCACAGGGATGGCACTGGGCTTGGCCTTGGAGTGCTGTGGGCGTGGGGCCCCGGAGGGAGCTCGGGTGCTGGGCCAGGGGGTTGGAAAGCCAGCAGAGAAGGGCGCTGAGGCTTGGGCTTGAGCAGCAGGGCAGGTGGAGACCAGTGCTGAGACTCCCGTACGCAGCAGGAGTGAGGGCCGGGCAAGAGGATGCGGCAGAGAAGCCCAGAGCCCAGTTTTGGACAAGCAGAGGGTAAAATGCAGGTGGACTTGTAGGATGGACAGACGACAAGAGGACAAGCACTGAGAGGTTAGGGCAAAACAAAACAGTAAAAGCGAAATGGAGAGGATGAGAGAGGATGCTAAGACTCAAAACAGAGAAAGAAGCAGCGCACAGAGTGGAGCCCCAGAAAGGCCCGCGGAGAGCTGGACTCCAGAGACTCCCTCGAGCTCCAGGCACAGTGGTTCACATCTGCAATCCCTGCCTCTGGGAAAGGGCCAGAGATGTAGCTCAATGCAGAAGCCCTGCGTTCCATCCGTAACAGCAAGACGAAACGAAAGAGACCCTTGGAGACTGGAGCACAGACCAGGCACAGACGCTGGGCCTCTCCGTCGCTGGACCTTACCCGTGTCCCTTTCTCTTTCCTCAGGCCCCGGATCCCTGGAGAACTCAGCCCCGAGGCCCCTGGGGCCCCTGGCCCTGCTCTCCACCTTGGGTTGGTTGTGGTGGAGGGTGTAGGCGCGGCCAAAGCAGGGCGCCTCCCCCCTCCACACCCCCAGGGGGGCCTCAGGCCGGAAGAAGAGGAAAAGGGGGAGCGAGCGCCTTGGATCTCGAGGGGGCGAAAGAGCTCTCAGTCACTCGAGGAGGAGGAGGAAAGATCGTTAGAGAACCCGTCACTGTGAGGGATAACGCAAAATTATGCATCTTTCTACAGCCATTCTCGCCACCCTTTCACCTTTCCAATTGTGACCCAGCCCCTGCCGCCTCGCACCCCTCTCTCAGCTCAGGCTGTCCACTGGCTCGAGTGTGGGTGGCTGTGTGAGTGTGCGCCCGCACGTGTGTGTGTGTTTGTGTGGGAGTGGGCTGGGGAGGGGAGCACGCCCCCCTCTCCGCCTCCCCCTCCTCCTCCCCTCACGGCCCCTGCCCACCCCTGCCTGCGTCCCCTAGGTGTGGGTGTGGGTGCTTCCAGCGGAAGCGGATAGGCTTGCCAGGCTCCCTCTGCCCTGCGCATGCACTCACTGACCCCTTGCCGCCTTGTCCAACTGCACCTCTGGGGCACGCTGGGAGTGGGCTGGGTTGGGCTGGGCTGTCACCCTCCCATCATCGGGCCTCTGACTTGCGGTTGCGTCCCTCCCCGCTATACACCAGCTGCCTGCAGCCAGAGACCCCATCGCTGGCGCAGTGACCTGAGACCTCCCCACTTCCCTCTGGGTTCCCACCCTGGACTTTGTGGCCTCCTCCCGGGCCAATCGGTGCTTCCATCCAACTGTCAGGCTGATGGCAGTAGCTGCCTGTCTGTCCCTGTGCTTCGCCCTCCCTTGTCTCCCCCTCCCCTTGGACACCTGCAGCGCCCAGCAGCTGCCCCCTGCAGTTGGCCCCATGGCCTCTCCACACACTGGCTCCCCAAAGCTGACCCAACCTTCCTCACACGCGTACGCACGCGCACACACACACATCGGTGACATGATCAGCAATAGCTCCTGGCCCCAGCTGCCCCGTAGCTGTTGTCCAGCCACACTGCCCCCAAGGTGGGCACTGTCGTCAGGAAGGGACGTGGTGAGACTGTGGCCTCAGTTCTGATGACCTCAGGACGCCACATGACACAGAGCAGAGGGAAGAGGGGTCGCGCAGACATCCTGAGCCCGGACTCCCCAAGACCCTATATAACCACCCACCTACCCTACCCAGAGCGTGGTGGCCAAAAGGGCCAAAGGGGGCGCGGGGCAGTGACTGTACCTCAGACGGGGACATGGGCCCCATCCCACATTGTCTTCCATTCCCAGGGTCCAGGGGACCGGGTGGGGCGGGGGCGGGGCGCAGGGAGGGGGCGGGGAGGGGCCCTGGGGGCCGTGTGTTCCAATTCATGGGGAGTGTTGAGACCACCACACCAATAAACGCCTTTTTCCAAAGTCTCTGCTTACAGATGTCAGTGTGGTTAAGGCATCGGGCGACTGGAGGCCCATGGGCAGGTCATTTGGTGGCACCCACCCTTAACCCTGTTTCTATTCCCTACTTTCTCTTAGTAAACTTGAAAGTGGCCCATTTACAAAGCTATCCCTGATTGGCTTATGCTGCTCAGAAGAGCCTCTTCCCACCATGATTGGCTCAGAGGTGGACACTTGGTCAGGCCATTGAGGGGGCGCAGATTGCAAAAAGGGACGTCCTCTGTGAGTGGTGGGGCCCCATGAGGGTGGCCTGTGGCTGCTGAGTGCAGAGATCTCTGTGGGGACAGCTATGGCCTGGAAGACAGGAGCATGGAGGCTGACACTGAGCAGCACCACGGAACACAGAGCCAAGGGGCTGAGACTCTAGGTCTCTGGGACATCATTTGTGCAGCTGGATCCAAGTGTACCTGATGCCATCCCTCACGCAAGCAATAAAGTCTCGTGTGTGTGTGTACCCCATGTGTGTCGGGTTTTCTGTCTCTGATGATCCAGAGAACATGGAAATTACCTGATACTGGAGAAAAGGCAAGGCCCTACTTTCCAGTTGCCTCACCCCCCCCCCACCTCATCCTTTAAGGGGTAGCTCCCGCTCCTTTCCTGCCCTGAGACTCATGCTGCTTGCCTACACTTTATTGCTTCTCTCTTCTTTGCTAGCGGACCCACCTGCAGTAATACAGACCAACATGTTTAGTTTCCAAGCCTTTTTTGTCCCTCTCTGGCCAATGTGGCCAAAGATACAAAGCAAAGTTGGTTGGTAGACTCTGTCTGTCTCCTCTCTCTCTGTCTCATGCACACAAGGATGGGGGAAGGAGAGAGAACAGAGAGATGTGTTTTTATAGGAGGGGCACCCCCTTCCTTTTGTCTTTCGATACTGTTGTGTGAAGGTGTGACCACTGGAACTGCAGCAGCCATGTTGCTACAGGAGACAACAGCACCTGGATAAAATATGCCAACCCACTAAAAAGGGGCAAAGCAGAAAGATTCAAAGGGTCCGGGTCCTGGATAAGGCCATTGAGTTGCTGAGCCCAGGTGAAGCATTTAGCTTTATATTTCTTGTCACCATTTCTTTTGTTTCTTTTGTTTGTACACCTCCTAACTCCTCAGTGGGAAGCCCAGCAGAGGCAGGAAGGACCATGTTGGGTAAAGTGTAGGCAGGCTCACTCTTGACTGGCACCAAAACCCGCTTGATCAGTCAGCAGATGTGTATTGATCGCCTGGTGTGTGTCAGGCCCTGTGTTAAGTACTGAGAAAATGGTACCGTTTGTGTCTTCAAGAAGATCTGTTGACTAGAGGATCTAAGCGACTCAGGGAATTGCGTATCTGCAGACAGGGAGGGGGAAGTTCGGGGGTAGCAGAACTTGACCTGTGACCAAGGTAAAGGAAGAGGTTTCCTGGGACAGGCAGAGTTGCCCTGACCTTGCTAAGTAAGAGACAGGAGAAGTGTCCAGGCCGAGCCCTGGGGACACAGAACGGCTAAGAACAAGCCTGTACTGACAAGGAGTGGGCAGCCCCAGGAAGGGAGGTCAGGGCAGCTGGCACAGGCCAAACCACAAGACCCTGCAAGTCAGGAAGAGGCTTTGGGTAACACTGAAAAGGTGGCATGCAGCCCTAGAAGCATTGAAAGAATTGAGGATCAGGAGGAATCTGATCTGTCTTATGATACAGTCTCTGGGAGCCCAGCCAGAAGTGGGGGTTGGCGGCAGAGTGAAGCCGGAGACCCAGCCAGGTTCCCCCTCCAGCCAGGAGCAGCTCAGCATGCTATCAGCCTATCTGCCGCAGGAGGCAGTGTGGACCATACTGCTTCACTGCACAAATACAAGTTGAATCTTCTCCAACAAGAAAGGAAGACAGGAAGTCTCACTTTTGGGGTCCAATCCCTGGTTGCAGCAGGCCCTACCTGCTGCCAGGGCAAACGAGGAAGTCTGGGCCCCAAATTCCCAGCACAGCGTGGGCTTCTGGGTGCAGATCACACCTGCGTGGCTGTCCTAATAGTTTTGAGCCCACCAGCTGCGGGGACAACCATCCTGGGGGTCTTGGGGGCAGCAGCCTGGAAAAGAGGCAGGAGAGGAGTGACCTTGGGAGGCAGCCTGGACATGAATTGACTTGTCCATCTCACCTTCTTCACCTGTAGCTCAAATCTTGCAAATGGCTGAGCCCACTGGCTTTCCAGAGGAAAAATGTTAAGCTACCCCTGGGAGCATCAAGGTAGGCAACAGCCCCAACCTCTATGGGGGAAAGGAAGAAATTCCATCCTGCCTTAGAAAGAAACATAGAAGTCTTGCCCAGTTTACGAACTACATCCCCCATCCCTTTTTATTTTTTATTTAGAGGCAGAGTCTCAGTCACTAAAAAGCCCAGTCTGGGCTGGAACTTGTGATTCTCCTGCCTCAGCCTCCCAGAATGCTAGGATTGGAGGTGTGCACCACCACGCCTGGCTTCTGTCTGATTTATATGTTTTTTAAATAAAGGGACAAGGTTTTTTCTTATCGCCTTTGCAAACTAACAGTTAAAAAAGGAAAGGCACTGAAAACATCTCTCCCTAGCCATATCATAAATCCCGCCCTTGTTCCAGCAGCAAGTGGGGGTTCGGCACTCACTGGCTGGGCCCTGGCTGGGCAGGTGTCTTCCAGCGGAAATTTGAAGGGCAGCAGCTGCGGAGTCTGGACTGGGGTCACACCCTGTGTCTTCTTTTCTGGTGTGGTGACCACGGGAGTCAAGGTCGGAGGATACTTCTTTTTCAAATTAGGAGACTTTCCTGGGAAGTAGAGAGGAAGAGGGAAACGGACACGTGATTGACTACTCCAACATGCCAATCAGCCAATAGTAAGGAAAGCAGGTCCGAGAGGTGGGGCCTTGCCGTGATTGGCTGATATAGACGTTAAAAAAAAGGAGGGGGAGGGGTGGAGATGATCTATGACTGCGCTGATTGGTTCAGCTCGGACTTCGGCGGTACTTCTTCCAGCGACCCTCCCAGTTGTTATCTTCCGCAGGACCCTCACTCACCTCTGAAGCGCCGCAGGCAGCAGATGCACAGGAAAATGAGTGTGACCAGCAGGGCCAAGCCTAACAGAGAGCCCAGGACGATGCCAGCAATGGCCCCGGGGCCCAGAATGGGAACTGGAAGAGAAGGAAGGAAGGGACACAAGGCTGCAGGACAGAGGCTGGATCCAAGCTTCCTAAGCTCTTAACTCATCCTTCGTATGGGCATCAAGGAGTCCAGGCCCCCTGCCAAATCTCAGAACCTACGCATCTAGGAGCTCAGCACTTTCGATTCATTTAGCATTTACTGAGTGGCATCATGGGCCTGGCACTAGGCCAGGTGGCAAGACTCCACTGGTGGGCAAAACAGGCAAGACACCCACCTCTCTGGGCGTTAGCTCCAAGACAGGAGGCAGAAATAAGTGAGCAACAAGTAACAGAAATACAACCGGCGCTAAGAAGGAAAAGCTGTACTATGACAGATATAACAGGAGGGGAGATGGAAATATTAGAAAGGGCAGTGAGCAGGAATCCAAAGAAGCCAATCAGGCCTAGCAGGAAAAGCGAACAGAAAATGCAAAGGCTCAGAGGTAGGAAGGAGTTTCCTGGGTCTGGTGAGTACCCATGTGGGCGAAGGATGTTGGTCGTTGGAGAGAGGCAGAGGATGAAGTTAGGGGTATTACCAGGGGCCAGGACTATGGGGGAGGACTTCAGGGATTCTCAGATGGCATGGATACTAGTGTGCTGGCCTGATTTCCTGACCCTGGCTTCTACCTGAAGAACGCACTATAGGACAGCAAGAGGAAGCATACAGAGACCGGGTACGTGGCTGCCGCAGTCCAGGCCAAAGAGGACGCTGTGCTTGCCCAGGGCATTACAGTGAAAGTGGAATGAAGAGAATGGATGAGAAAAAGCATTTTGGGAAGCAAACTGACCAAATCTGCTGGTAACTGGGATGCCAAGGGGTGGTTTGGGAAACACAAGGAGCATCATTCTGCAAGATGGTCTCTGGTTTTGCAGAAGAAACGTCAAGGGGTCTATTTTGGACATGTCACATTAAGATGGCAGTGGGACACCACAAGTAAGGTGTCAGGTAGGCAATCGCAAGTTCCAGAGAGAGAGGTCAGGGCTGGGGATGAGTCCTTTGGGAGTGATCTGAGTATTAGTGATATTGACTGTCTTCAGCCTGCACGAGATCTCGCTAGGGACAAATGCCAGTTCAATGGCTGCAGCCCAAGATACCCCACTATGTGGAAGTTCAGTTCTGTATTGAGGTGCTAATCCCCTGTACCCGTGAATGCGGCCTTATTCTGGAATAAGGCCTAAGTCGGCCTGGGGTCATCAGCATGAACCCTGGCTCATGGGTCCTTATCAGAAGAGGACAGAGATAGACAGAGATTGGAGGCCACGGGAAGGCTGCAGATGGTGGTCACAGTGACCCACACACAGCTGAGGGATACCAATGGACAGCTACCACCAGAAGCCATAAGGAGGCAAGGGTCCTTCAACCCAGAATGTCAGAAGAGCCCAGCCCTCATGACACCTTGGTATCAGACTTGTGTCCTCTAGCTGTGACACAGAATGTTTCTGTTGTTCCAAGCCACATTGTTCCAGTGCTACAAAAAGGGGCACTAAGGGAAGCCCAGGGCAAAGTGCCCACAGCCTACTCACCTGCCTGGTAAATTCGGCTTTGAGATGGAGTCCCTGGTTGGGTCCCCAAAATGGGCAGGATGCGCAAAACCGAGGTCCTGGGGCTCTGAGAAGGGAGGGACACCACAGCTGACCGCTCCTGAGGCCCCAGGACGAGCAGGGAGATCCAATCTCTGTAACTGGTGGCTCTGCTGGAATCAGTCTCCTCCGACTGCGCCTGGATCTCAAAGCTGCTGATCAGGGCACCACGCTCCACATCCCAAGTCAGCACTGCTGCATCTCGGGCTCTCTGTAGCTTCCAGGAAGAGATGGAAGGGCCTGGAGGAGGAAAAGGGGAGGGGCATCCGGTGTTGGGGTCCACTTGCAGGAGGGAAGGGGACTGGGGGCCTGGCCTCCTGGGTCTGAGGGAAGAGGGGCTGGAAGCTGGTCACCTGGGTATTAGGGCAGGCCCTCAGGGACTTGAAAGTCAGGGCTTTTGGAAGGTTGAGGCTCACCAATGAGGGTGATCTGATCACCCCCGGCACCTAGCACCCCGCTGCACAGCACGGAATAATTTCCCAGGTCCCACTCCAGGCTGAAGTTGCTGATGAGCAGTCTGCGCCCGTCCTGGCTGAGGTGCAAGCGACCCCCGCCTCTAGGAGCCAGGGGCCTGCCTTCCCGAGCCCAGACAGCTCGAGAAGGTTGGGTGCACCCAGAGGCCTGTAGGACCACCTGTGCCTGCCCTGAGCGGGTTTCTTCCACCAGCAGATGTAGCAGCACCTCCCGGGGTGCCTCTGTAAGAGACAGAAACCCAATGAGAAGAATTAAGGCCTTACCTTGGTCTCAGATAACAAGTCCGGGCCTTTCCTGAAATCAAATAGTGGGGAAGCCCCCAGGAAGAACTGCCTGCCCATTCATTCATTCATTCTCAGCAACGCACATGCAGAACCACAGGCTGAAGCCTGTGCTGGCAAACTCACTATTCACCACTGTTAATTACAATTAAAAATAATTTTTAAAAACAAACTGATTTAAACAAGAAAATAAAAACTCCGACTGATTTCTTTCTCTGAACGCATAGGAAAGTGACAGCCCTCCTGGGTCCAGAAATAAAAACCCTGTCCCTTCCCACTCTCAGCTTTAGGAAATACCTTGTTCTTTCGCTGGCTTCCGCCCCTTTCCTGGAGTAAGGAAGCGCCCACCGCACCCCCAGCCCCGAAAGGGCCAAAGGACTAAAAGAGACCTCCCTGTCTTCCCCTGGCACAGTAGAGGAACGCGGCCGCTCACCTGGGGTGACAGTGCAGGTGCGCGTGGCCACCAGGTGGCGAGCGAGGCAGGTGACCGGGACGCCGCTCAGCCGGGGGTGGACGGGGACGGTCGCCTGTAGCTCCGAGGGCGCCGGGCCAGTGCGGACGCCTTTGGGGAGACCCTGGAACTGTAGGGAGGCGGCAGGGACCCCGCCCGGCCAGGAGCAGCGGAATCGGAGGCTGCGGTCGCCAGGACTCTCTTCGACCCAGCACTGCGGAGAGCCGGGGGGCAGATCTGCAAGAGGGGACACCGGAATCCCGCGGTCGGTTTTGGCTTTCTTCCCTGGTCCCGCCTCTGCGCGCGGGCCCCGCCCCAAAGCGCTAACCCCGCCTTACTCGCTGCTCCAGCTCCTGGTCCTCAGTGACTGCCCAGTGAGGCAGGCAGCTCGCAGCCCCTCTGACTTCGCCTTTCCTAAAAAAACTGCACCTTCACCGATTCTTCCAAAGGTAAGCTGCCCTTTCTTTCCAGCTCCACCCCTCTGCCTGGTTGCTCGGACCCCTGCTTGATTATTCCGTCCTGGCTGGATAGCTCCGCTTAGCGGACCCAACTTCTGGGCTCAAGTAACCTCGTCCCGCTTGCTAATCCCACTCTTGGCCACTTAACTCTGCTGCTTTCTTTTTTGAGAATGACACTTGTCCAGGCATGTCTGCCACTCCTCTCTTTGGCTCTGCCACTTCTAAGCATTCCAGTCCCTTCTGCAAGCAATCTCCGCTCCCCTGCTGGCCACGCCCCGTCCCCATATGGTCCCGCCCACCTCCAGTTGGCTCCGCCTTCCCGTTGGCTCCCATGGACTATCCATCCCGCCTCTCTGGCCCCAACCCCAGGCACTCCAGCCTTGCCAGCTAGCCCCGCCTGCCCCGCCGGTCCCGCCAATCCACATAGTCCCGCCTTCCACTTGGCCCTGCCCATAGATGGTGTTCCCCGCCCCTTATGGCCCCGCCCCTAGGGAGTCCAGCCTCGCCAGCTAGCCCCGTCCATTCGGAAGGCCCCTACTCTCCCCTCAGGCCGCCCTGACCACAGATAGTGCCGCCCACCTGTAGGCCTCGCCTTCCTTTTGGCTCCGCCCACTAATGGTCTGTCCTTCCCATCTTGCCCCGCCCCCAGGCACTCCCTCCTCCGGCTAGGCCCGTCCATCCGGCGGCCCCGCCTCTCCCTGGCGGCCCTGCTCCGCCCCAGCCGCTCTCACCTGCCACGGTGAGGTTGATCACCGAGCGGCGGCGTTGACCGGTGCGCGGGTTCGTGGCAAGGCAAGCGTAGGCGCCGGCGTGGCCAGGTTCCACGGTGGGCAGCAGAAGGCGAGGGCCCGCGGGCACTGCGGCCTCTGCGGGATCCGCTAGGCTCCACGCGATGTCGGCAGGCGGCCGCGAGGCGGCGCTGCAGCGCAGGGTCACCGTGCTGCCCTTGGTGACGTACTGCGAAGGGGCGGCGTCGCGATCCGAGGAGACCGTGATGACCGGGGTGTCCGGGCCGTCTGCGGGGCGAGGGCCGGGGTCACCGGGGTCTCGTCAGCGGCCCGCCAGCCCTACCCCCCACCCTCCAAGCACGCTCCGCACTCACAGAGGACGCTGACATCTGCCGTGGCCTCCGCGTGGCCGAAGGGGCTGCGCACGCGGCACGTGTACCGGGCGTGGTCACTGCGCACCGGGCGCACCAGGCGCAGCTCTGGGCCCTCGGCGTGGATCCGGAGCGGCTCTACTCCCTCGGAGTCCGCAGTCTGCAGGACGTGTCCTTCCCGGCTCCAGCTCAGCTCCCCACTGCCAGGCCTCCACCCTACACAGCGCAGCCGGAGCTCAGCCGCCCCCTCTTCAGTCTCTGGGGTCTGGGGCTGCACCGACAGCTGGGGTAGGGGCTCTGGAGGGGAAAACGGGGTCAGGAGCAGTCAGGAAGCCGGCCCCCAGCCCCCATCCTCTATACCAGAGAACTTGGACCCCAGCCGCTGCCTCCTGTTCACCCCCACAAGTCTGGGTTCCATCATTGTGCCCCTGAATCTATGCGGTCAGAGCCCGCTCCTCACGGCCAGCCCTCCACCCTCAGATTGGGGTCCAGATGGGCCTCAGCCTTCTCCCTCGGACCCAGGGGATCGGGTCCCTCTGTTAGTGTTCATCCCACTTCCCGCTTTCCTCGTCCTCTTAGTCTGTCCGGGAGCTGCTTCCTGTTGGAAGGAAGCCTCTACAGGACAGGTTAGTGGCTTGCCCAGAGGTTTCCAAGCAACCGGCGCTGTGGTCTACTTACCGTACACGCCCACCATGAACTCCTGAATTTGCCTAGAGATGCCACCCCGGATGACCTCTACCGTGTAGACCCCAGCATCATCCAGCTGGGCAGTGGCAAGTTCCAGACCCCCTCGGGCCTGGTCAAAGTGCAGGCGGTCTCGGTGAGCAGGGTCCAGGCTGATCAGGGGAGCCCCTGGCCCCAGGCCGCCAGCTGCCAGCACCTTGGAGCCCCGGCGCCAGACCACCATCGGAACAGGGGGGCCCGGTCTGGGCACTGGATCCAGGGGCAGCCGGATGGTGGTCCCCACTAGCACAGCGAGTGGACCCCCCACCTGCTGGGGGAAGCTTGCAGCTGGGTGGGTCTCCAAGGAAACTTTGGATTCGGAGTTTCGAGAAAAGTCTTCAAGGTCTACATCTTGAGGGGGAAACTTTGACCCTGGGTCCTCAGCAGATACTTTGGTGTCCCGGATTTGGGGAGCAGTGTTCGAAGCTGGGGTTTTAACAGAAGAGGAAGGTTCAGGGCCTTTCGCAGGAACTTGAGAATCTAAGAACTCAGGAAATGCTTCAGAACCAGGAATTTTGGAGAAGGTGGGATCTGAGCTCAAATGATGGTGGTCCGCAGAAGTGTTTGGCCAGGGAGGCCCAGACACATCCTTCGAATTCAGGGCCTCAGGAAACCAGTCAGAATCAGGGATTTCAGCTGAGGCCATTGGCCCTGGAAACTGATGTCTGGAGGGATTGATGGTGGGCACTTTGGAAGTCTGGCCCTGGGAGGAGATGCTGATGGAGTCTGAGGAGATGGCAGGGGTGAAATTGGTTTGCTGAAGTCCAGGAGTGGTAAGGAGCCCTGCTCAGAAGACAAGAGGGGAGGGGAGGGCAAGGTGTTGGCAAGGGTGCTGGAAAGGGGGCTGGTGGGAAGGGGTTGAGCAGGGCACTTACCCAGGAGTAGGAAAAGCTCCAGAGCCCACGAGATGTCCATGGTGCTGGCCGCACCCGACAGGACACTGGAGAAAGCCAGGACCTGCACCTATCCCTCCTGGGCAGGACAAGTCCAACAGGACTGGTAGCTTAGCTTCCTGGGCGGAGAAGGCAGCCAGATCCAGTGGGGAGGTGCTGGGGTCCCCCTACCCACCTGGTGGCTGAGCCACCTACCCCACCCTTCTCATCTTCTCAGCTGGCCCTGGCTGTGGGAGGCCCAGCCGAATCTGTCCTCCCCACCCTCGGGGGAAGATGGGGAGAGAGGAGTCCCAGCTGGAAAGGTGGTAGCCTGTCTGGAAACAAGCTAGGAAAGTTTCCTAGAGGACCATGAGACCCACTGTTGGAAAGGTCCTCGACTAATGGCTTCCTCCTCTCTACCCTTTGTCTCTGGTCCGCCCTGTCTGCCCTGCAGCCTCAGATGTATCTGTGTCTGATCCCGCTCCTCCTCTACTCCAGACCCCCCATGGCTCCCTACTGTCCCCCGACCCAGTCTCAAGTTGTCTCCCACACAGCCATCTCTCCTGCCACCCAGAGCTGCGTTTCCACGTCCTCAGACCCTCACAAGCTCTGCATCCCCCTTCACCCAGCATCTGCCCTCCGACCCAGATCCAGCCCTTCTCCTGCTTCTCCGTCTCCAGGGGGCTTAGTCATGTCTGCAGGTGCTGGGGAGCCTTCCTACCTCCTCCCTGCCCTCCTGCCTTCTGAATTTCTCTGCCCTCCTCTCATCTGAGTTCCTACTGCCCAGGCTCCAAAAGTCCCTCTAGTGCACCTGAAGGTCACTCTCCATCAGGGCTCACCCTGCCCTCCTCAGCGCGCCCTGGAAGTATCCCAGCTCCTCAGTGAACCCCACTTCTCCTCATGGGTCCAGCAGCTCCCCTTAGGTGCTGACTCCTGGGCTGTCTCTGGGCTCCCTGCCTTCCTGCTGTGTCCCCTCCTGGCCTGTTCACACAGACACAGACACACACACCCGCTCAGTCATAACTTGTCCTTCAGGTCTCACCTTATTAAGAACAATAACAATAATTACAGCTTACGTTGTTCCAGGAACCACGCTAAATTCCTCCTGTGCTATTATGTGGGGCTGAACCCTTTCAAACGCCTTCTGAGCTGGGTGCCTTTACTGACCGGCCACTGTGGCTCAGAGAGGCCAAGGGACCTGCAGGATGTTGCAGAGCCAGAGGAAGAAGCTGGGTGAGTCCCAGGCTGGTGAGGAAGCTCTTCCCTTTCAGTCTGTCCTCAGTCATCAGCGTGTTGGCAGCAGGGCCACTGTTCAGCGTGGAATGCTCTGTAACCCTTAGTACACTGATAAGGTGGGAGTGAAATGTATAACCGTGTGTCATAGCAGTCGCGTTGCCTTTAGTCCCCTCAGAGTCCTGCCCCTCGCTTGAATGCACATATCCTATCATTCTTGTGTAAATCCTCTTTCCTGAGTGTGATCAAAACTACAGTGAGGGCCACTGCTGTCATCCAACGGACATGCGGGCCCATAAAACCATTTTGGGGTGTCCTCGTCTGCCAGATCTGGCACCAAGTGATTTCTGGCTCTTGGCCAGAATCAGAACAATTATGAAAGGTAAACTTTTTGAGTAGGTGCTGGGCATCCAGGCAGCCACAAGGGCGACACTCACTGAAAAGGACTTCCAGGACTGCTTCCAAAGCAGCAGGAATGATGGAGTGTGTCTGAGATGAAGGGGAGCGTCCTGAGGGGGCTTCACGGCGCTCCCTTTTCCTCAGATAACTATGTTGAACATGCAGGTGTTGGACCCTCACCTCAGGTGCTCACCATCTTCTGTGTATTAAGTGCTGCAGAAATTCTCAGAATCCACCGGGAAGGCTTTGGGGTCTGGTGAAGGCTAGATACTTCTCATTAAGAAGGGGTAGAGGGTGTGCAGGCTGATTCAGCTCAGTGGAGTAATCACCTCCCTGGCAAGCGCAAGGTTGAGTTCCCTCTGTGGTACCAAAAAAAAAAGTCGAACCTATGATCCCCCCTTCAAGTCACCCCCAGCGGTGCTGCTGTGCTGCATGGAGAAGCCTATACTTGCTCCTGTTCTAATTCATGAGCACACAAAGTTAACCGACCACATTTTGGGATGGTTTGTTATACTGCAAAACACGACTAGGCCGGCATGTAATCCTAGCACTCAGGAGGCTGAGACAGGAGGATGGCCAAGAGTTCAAGGCCAACCTAGGCTACATAGTGAGCTGAAGAACTGTAGGAACTACATCAAAACACCCTGTCTCAAAAAAAAAAAAAAAAAAAAAAATAGACCAGCACATAACATATTACATTCTTTTCTTTCTTTCTTTCTTTTTGAACTAGGAATTGAACTCAGAACCTTGGAACTAAGCCACATCCTCAGCCCTTTTTATAGTTTCTATAAATACTTGCTAAGTCACTAAATTGCCCAGGTTGGGCTTAAACATGTGATCCTCCTGCCTCAGCTTCCCAGAGTGCTGGGATTACAGATATGCAACACCACAAATCAGATATGATTACTAGTTGATTGGGAAGATGAGCTGAGGCTGGCTGGGGGCCTCCCCTAGCTAGCTGGGCACTGGTCCAGGTCAGTAGATTTGAACCCTGGGCCTCAGGACTGGGACCCAGAGTAACATGATGGGGCTGGCAGCTGAGGAACCAAAGCTCAGAGATGGACCCAGCTCACCTGGGCCTCACAGCTGAAGTTGAGAGATTTGCAGCCAGTCAACCCGACTGCAGCGCTGGGTTCTGCCTGACAAGAGGTTTTGAATGTCTGTTACCAGCTCCTCTTGTCGGGGTCCCTCTTGGTCCCAAGTGTCAGCAGGGCTCAGGCTCCAGCACCCACTGGCCAGGCCAAATGAGCCATCCACATACCGGAGTGCCTTCCCTCCCAACCCGTCACCCGGTGCCACACCAGCGTCTGTCCCCTCAGTTCAGTCAGTACTTGACTCACCTGGCTCCCCAGCCTCACCCAGCACCAAACTGGGCATAAGGGGATTTAAGGAAATATTTGTGGAGTGAATCAAACACAGAACCTCCAAGGAATTTGGCAATACAGATATTAAGAGAGTCAGAGTTTTATTGCTGTGTTTCAGGGAAGGGGCTCAAATTCGCCCGATCTCCTTCAGCTTGGCCACCAGGTCTTCGGTGTTCTCCACCTTGACGCCTGCCACACGCTGTGGTGGGTCCTCCACGCTGACCACAGTAAGCTTGGAGCTCATGTCCACGCCCAGGTCGCCAGCCTTGATCACCTCGACCTTCTTCTTCTTGGCTTTCTGTGTGTGGGGAACCAGATTCATGAGGCTGCTGAAGTCCTGCCCACCCATCCCCACTTTCCCAGCCCCCTCCCCAACCTCCTTCCCAGGGTGCCACAGTGCAGGACCATCGCAGAACCAGGACATGTGCAAACTCTCCTAGCGCGGTGCTTGGTACAGACCTTTCCCGTTGGCTGGGATAGCCCAGGAGGCTCAGCTATGCCCAGAGCCCTCTTTATTTAGCAAACCTCATCAGGAAGCCCAAAAGACCCATCCTTTGGCAGTAATGACTCAATGGACTCAGGACATTTCCTATTGGTTAGCCACCCACTGCCTGCTCATCATTGGCTGAGAGGACCCACTGATCCCTCCCTTTTGATACACTGAGTGTTTTCTATTGGCTGAAATGACCCACTGAACTCAGCGGGTCCGAGATGACCAAAGAACTCTTCCTACTGGCCAACACACTCCACTGGCCCTTCCTTGTTACTCAAGATGACCTTCATCGTAACTTCCTATTGACAAAAACTACCAAGGGAACCTTCCTTGAAACCAAACCGCTGAATGCATCTCTTTCCTTGGCCATGACTGCCCAGGGAGCCTGCCCACTGGCTGGATCTGCTGCCCGGTAAAGCCTTCCACCTGCTGAAATGACCAGCCCAGACTATTAGCCAAGTAGCTCTAAGGACTCTCAGCCCGTGTACTCTGTTGGCCAGTGACCCGCCTGTTCCCTTTGATGACTGCTGCCTCAGCCAACCTCCTCCCTCCCCCAGCACCCTTCCCTGCAGCAAGGGCGGCAGCATGCTCACCATGATGTTGGGCAAGGTGGCGTAGCGGGGCTCGTTGAGCCGCAGGTCTGCGGTCACCACGGCTGGCAGCTTCAGGCGAAGGGTCTCCAGGCCCCCGTCAATCTCCCGCTCCACTTTCAACTTGTCCCCCTCCAGTGTCACCTGGGAGGCGAACGTGCCCTGGGGAGGGACAGCGCAGTAGAAGAGCAGGCGGGGTTAATGCAGGTCAGGCACAGAGCGGTCCTCGGCAAAGACAAGCGGATAGAGGCTCGAGGGAAGGACACAGAGGCCTGTAAGATGCAAAAATTGGCGGGGAGCCATGGAAAAGGATCTCAGCCATCTGGGGGGTGCCTCCCTTTCCCTGATCGGGCCCCCTAGAGCCCCTCCTTAAGAAGAGTGTTGAATGAATGTGCATTGAGAGTTGACTCCAGTTCTAGGCAGCCAGGTTCTGCACAATAAGACCTAACTGGACCTGCCCAATTGGAATCAGGATTAGCTGCTCCTTACCATGGTGACAGCCAGTGTCTGGCAGATTACACCTCACTATTCTCTTCCTGTGGGTTGCTCTGTAAGGGCAGGGAAGGCATGGATAGGCTGGTTAGGCTGGTACTGTTTTCTTCCTAATTAGGTCTTATTTTAGGAGTAACACAGAATTCACATGTACTTGTGTCACATTGTGTCAACTGGAGCAGTTTAGAAGTTTAACTGAGAGACTCCGGAGGGGCCAGGATTCTTACTGTGTAAATATCCTCATCCTGTGCAAGAGGAGGGCAAGAAGATTTTGAGTGCTACACTCTCCTAAAGGAAGCCTTGGGCCTGTGTACAATATACACATTGTACCTTTTTCTCCTTTTTGCTCTGGCTGCTGCCTTGTGCTGAATCACTGTCAGGCCACTCAGCCTTGGAGCCAGCTGATTATGGACTGAAACCTCCACAAACAATGAGCTAAATAAACCTTTCCTTCCTTCATCTTGCTATTGGGTATTTTGTCTCAGCAATGAGAGAAGAGTAACCAAGCCACACATCCAGTTGAAATTCTGAGATAAATGCTGTTATTCACACTTGATGGATTTAGGAAACTGAGGCAGCAGGGCTTGAATAACACGCCTCTGAAAGCTGGCTCCTACTGAGGCTAACAACAGAGTATCTATACCTGTGCACCAAAGGAAGCAATAAAAACTGGAAATGGAATTGTGTAGGTTAACACTAACCAGATCATACACTCGATGTACATCAGTAGTGTTGTGAGAGCTGCTAACAAAACCTCCGTGAAGTGACAAGAAAATTTTTAAGCCCGTTTGCAACAACTCAGGTGGATGAACCCATGTTTTCAACTGTGAGCTTTTAGTATCCAAATCAGATAGTTCTGATGCAAATTTAGCACCTGTTCTGAGATGCACAGTTAACATATTTCATCTCAAAATCTTGGTACAAAAAAAGAATACGATACCTCAGTATTGTTTATATTGGCTACATGTTAATATTACAATATTTTACATATACTGAAGTATGGTGGAATGTGCCTATAATTCCAACTAGTTAGGAGAGGAGAATTACAATTTACAGTACTGGAAAAGCAAATTCATGAACACCTGTTGGTATGTTTCTCTTTACTTTTTAAATGTTGCTGTGAAAACCTTAGAATTATCCATGATAATGGATATGCATGAATGGATCTAAAGACCTTGGATTTGGGGGTGGGTGTGAGGTGTTTGTTCCATCCAGGGTGAGGCAGGAAGGCCCTTCCCAGAGAGGATAGCAAAGCAAGACCCAAAGGAGGGGAGCCAGGAAGCCAGGGGGCTGGAACCATGTTCTGGGAGGAGAAGCAACAAGTGCAAAGCCCCTGTGGCAGGGCAGAGTTTGAGGGGGCCTGTCACATGGCAAGCGCTCCTCCTCTGGCCTCACCTGTGGCCAGTCTAGAAGTCCAGCTGTCATCTGACCCGTCTGGTTACAGTCGTCATCGATGGCCTGAGTGGGTAGAGAGGAGACTAATGATCCATGGAGCTTCTCCCAGCCCTTTCATGCCTCTGTCTAGAATAGGAATCAAGAAACATTTGCTTTCCTTTTTTTTTCTCTTCTCTGCCTGACTCTGGCCCTGAGGACTGAAGCCAGGGCCTTTGTGCTGAGCAATGTCTCCAGCCCATTTTACTTTTTATTTTGAATCCTGGCCTTGCTAAGTCACTAAGTCCCCCACGTGGGATTTGAAGTTGTGATCGTCCTGCCTCAGCCTCCCAGAGCCCTGCATTACAGGTGCACACCACCAAACCCAGCTAGCAAACACTTTCTCTAATGAGCCAGTGGGGGTCTCCGTCAGGACTCAGTGCCGCCACCGCAGTGCACAAGCAACCACAGGCAAGACGTCAATGACTGCACATGGGTATTCCAATAAAACTATTAATAAAATAAGATGCCTGTGCCCTGGGCCATGGTTTGCTAAGTCTTCCTCTAGAAAGATCCTCCTACTTGGACACAGAGATAAGCGGTCCCTTGTCTGGGGCCTGGGGAGCCACCTGGCTGCCCCACCACCAGCTCCCTGTCTTCAATATGAATATTCATACGAGCCTCCCACCAGCCAGGCCTGGGGCCAGCCACATCTGGGGGCTGGATGCACAGAATCCTGGCCAGCGAGGATGTCCTAACCTCTAACCTGGTGCTTGGTGCAGGGATATACGGGACTCAAACTGGGCTGGTGAAGACCCAGCCCCAGGTGCTTTGCTGGAGCGCTGGGGAGCGAGTTATGCACAGCCCACTGAGCTGCTGAGTCAGCGGGACGTGAGCAGCAGATACAGAGAGCGAAGTCCAGGCAAAGGAGCTGTACCCTCAGCTGTACCCTCTGCTGCACTGGCCTTGAACCAAGCTGTGTCCAGAGGCCACTCCCATGACCTGGTAACTGCGTTGCAGGGCTCCAGGCAGTCTGACCCGTGGCCCTGCTGTGTGGACCGAACTGCCTCCTGACCAGTCCAGCTGCTATCTCACCAGCCATAGCACTGGGCCCAGGCAGTGTCCCTGGCAGCCAGGACCGGCAGGACACCACCAATCTGAGGTCCACCAGCACGAAGCTCCAGGAGGCCTGGCTGCCATACCTGGGGCCTGGGAGCCTGTGAGATCTGCACCCCAAAGCTCACCCAGCCCTTGTCTCCTCAGCCTGTTCTCCAGTTAGGCCCTCAGTTTCAGTTTACGGATCACACTCTGATCCGTAATCATGCTGTGGGTAATCTCTGTGACACCCAGTGACCCACCTGGCCCTGTCTGCCTCTCTGCCCCAGTGCTACTTGGCTCCCTGGCACCCCTGCCTCTCCCGACTGAACCCCAGCTCTTTCTGTCAGTTGCCTGTACCCTGTTGTCTGTGCCTCATTTTACCTCAAAAAAGAGAAAAAAGAAAAAGGAAAGAGAGGACAGCTGCTGGATGTGGTGGTGCACGTCTGTAATCCCAGCACGCAGGAGGCTGAGGCAGGAGGACCGCCATGAATTTGAGCCAGTCTGAACTACATAGTGAGTTCAAGGCCAACGTGGACTACATATGCAGATCCAATCTCAAACACCAAAACCAAAACAATACAAAAAGTCAGTCTAGGGCAGTGAACCTGGGCCTTTTAGAACTTTCAATGGTAACACACAGCCCGCCCGCTGTGGCTACCACTGACGCAAGGGTTTCTCCCTCAGCATCTGCTCTCCCTCATTTCTTTTGACATCCTTTCCCCTCTCCATCCCCTGCATGACAGGAGGCCATGACATCTGTCTCTAATGGGATGGGCCTGGGAGCTGCACCTGAGAGAGACTGGCAGCCTTGGGCCTCCTGCCCAGCCCAGCCCCTCCCAGCTCTGGCTTGAGGTGTCCCTCTGCACCCGAGCTGGTCCTGTCTGCTCTTGCTCACACCTGTCATGGCTCCCACCGTCCTGCAAGCCACAGCTCCTTGGCAGGCCCCGGCCCTCTCCTAGCCAAACCCTGTGTGTCCCCAGAGTCTTCTCCTGCCCTCCCCACCGCCCTATGCCATGGGAGCCCCCTCTCATCCTGTCCTCCCCCGGCCTTCCACCTCCGAGTCACCACGCCAGACCCAGGCTCCGTCCCCACCTGCTGTGACGCCCATGCTGTCCTTGGCCTGGCCCAACCTCAGAGACCGGAGCTCGTCCATGAGGATCTCAAGAATCATGCAGACACTCAGCGTGATCACCCAGCCCTCAGACAGGACAGGGCCACACTATCACCCTGAACCCAGTACTGGGCAGGGACTAGGTGAGCACAATAGCGCGGCACAACCTACCTGCTTGCCCAGCAGCACCAGGTCCACCTTCTCTCTCTCGGCCAGCTTAGCCAGGACCCGGGCCACTTGCAGGGGACCCATGCGCTCAGCCTCCGCGGCTGGCACCTCCACGTGGATGCCTCGGTCTGCACCCATAGCCAGGGCTGTGCGGATGGTCTCCTGGCCAGGAGAAAGCTGGAGTGAGATGGCTTCTGTGATGGGGAAAGAGGAGGCTGGGCCCGAGATCTTCCTCCCTCAGGCCCCAGACATCGTGTCCCCTGGCACCTGGCACTGTACGGGGCCACAGCTGACGGCGATGATCTCCTTCACCAGCTTCTTCTCCTTGAGCCTCACAGCCTCCTCCACGGCTATCTCACAGAAGGGGTTCATGGAGTGCTTCACCCCATCAGTGACCACCCCAGTCTTGTCAGGCTTCACCCGGATCTGCACAGCAGGAGAGGAGGGCAGGGTCAGGGGCTCGCAGGGCAGGAGGCCAGGGCAATTGTGGGTGGGGACAACACGGCTGGGGAAGAGGCAGGGTCTCCTGGTCCAGGGCCACCTGGCTCCATCCCAGAGCCGGTCAGAACTCCCAGGTGACGGCAGGCCACCCACTCCCATCTCACTCAGACCCTTCCTGAGTGCCAGAGACGTTTGATACAATCGTTTCCACACTGATCGTTCCCACACCGCTGCACTCTGAGAGCCACCTGTGAAACTTCTTTGCTGTAAGCCACAGTGAAAAAAAGGATGTTCGAGGTGCCAGGAACTGCTAGAAATGCGCACTGATACATAAATACCCGGGTGTAAGGGTCCTGGGACACCCCTCACCCTTACCACACACCCCAGGGCCTGGCAGCACCCATGCCTTTCAAGCGCCAGCCTTCTGGGTGTGTTTCACAATGCACACATGCTCACAACCTTCCCGAAAACACCGGCACCCGAGGAGTCCACCAAGTTGGGTGGGGCGCTGATGGAGACCCCTACAAAGTGGCTCTGAGCAGGGTTTAAAATTAACTAATTGGTTTCTGCGCTTATCTGTGAGTCTGTCCCAGGCCTGGACCCCTTATCTGGAGATGGGCAGCGGATCCATAGTAAGTGAACCCCAGTGAGTCACTGGTCCTGGCTGAGGCCTGCAGTGTGAGGCCAGAGCCGAGGACACCTGGCTCCAACCTCAAGGAGACAGAGACTGCAGCTGTGGGAATTTCATGCCTACCGTAAATGTCGTCATGGAGATAAGATGGTCCTCCTACATTGGCATAATTTACTACTTGGAGAAGTCTTTGAGGTGACTCCCAAGATTCTGCTCAGTTCTTGTATTTTCCTCTCTTTGTCTGAAAACCTAATAAACCTGGGCCTCCCTGAGAAGCTCTTTGTCTCAGCCCCCAGAATCTCAAACTCTGCAATGGTACATTCATTTGGGAGGTTGGGGATCTAGGCCAGGTCCCTGATAGGGTACATGAGCAAACCCTCTCCTTTCCCCATAGGGTGCCTACATAGATAATCCGAGACACTTCCCTCCAAAGATCTGTCCCTTCATGACAGTGACAGAGGCCCTCTGCGAAGATGGCTGTATCAGGGAGCTATGTGTGGATCTGCCGTAGGTGCCCCTGAATGAGTGGGGAGCTGTCAGAGGGTGACAGGGCCCAACTGGGTCTGCCATGGGAGACTTGAAGGTCTCTATTGGAGTAAGATAAAAATTTTGACAGCAATCGAAAGATGAACAAAGCTG